ATTAGAGTCACAGACGCTGCAGTGCGGTTGGAGCGTCTAGCTCTTTTCTTCGGTTTAGACTCAGAGCTTACTTTGGCCGGGTGAGATATTATCGTGGCCGTATTTACCTCCGGGGAGGGACCTTAGTATTTACAAATTGCGCGGTTATTTCGGTCATCCTATCGCATTTTTTCATGAGCAAAGATAAGCAGTTGACCACTGGGATGACTTGACATGTTGGGCAAAACCAAATTGTGTCAGCAACTTGGTTTGTCTGTCTCACTTCTTGGACAGATTTACCTACACATTGCGGACAGTACGATCTAATGCAGCTTGAACAGGTGATACTGATCTTAAGCAGTTTACTGCAGTTGTCTGCACAACATTGGCGACGTTGAACCATTGAAATGCTACTAGTCCTCCTGTTGTTTACAGCAAAGCCGATCTAAGCGCTCACCTTGGTAAGTGTACTTTGCGCTAGGGGTGACGCAGGAACAGGTGAGAACGCGCACACGAAGTGAGGGTTGTTCAGCCGCACCAAGGTCAGTGCAGCAGGCAGATGGAAATCGTAACGCGCAGACTGTCGGATTCAGCAATCAATCGACTTGCAGTGGTACACACACACCCACACAAAGCGGCAGCGTGTGTTAATCGGTCTGCCTTAAGCGACGATGCAGGCGGAGCGCTGATAAGCGTCCCTAAAGCTGCTCAGTTGACGAGCGGAGCAAAACGGCTGTAAGTTTGTTATGCTGCAACTTGCAGGGATGGTTGCCGCGTAGTTGGGGAGTCCACAACTTCTTCTTCCGAATGAGACCAAAATCTTTTCCGAAAGACCGGTTTGATGTAGGTACACAAGTGGAATACGGCAAAGATTATGCCGAAAACTGGGAACTGGAGCAATAGTGTAATCCACACAGGTTAGATCCGGGAGATGGAAAGCACTGAGTAGAGCTCGTCGAACTGGTTCGAACGAGCGCAAGCACAATATTGTGTGGGGAGAATTGGAGTCGCCACAGAGGGCAAAGCGAGAGACGAGTTAAGGTGCGGCCGCACTGCAGAATGGTAACTATCCATCCTAGGTAGATGGTTAGGTTTTCGATGCCTGTGTTGATGTGGTGTTGTATGTAAGTGAATCCTGGACGATTCATATGAAGGAAATGTGTCGAGTTGCTCAACAGGAGCTTGCGGTGGATAGCTGGTACATGGTATGAACACCGCGTTTGCACCGACGCTGATAGCCGTCGAGTACGGGACTTTCCGTTTACAGGTTAGCATCACCTGCGAATACCGTGTACGTGACTACCACGATATATTCTACTCACTCTCAAGGGCCGCAAGGGAAGAAACCGTGCGGTGAGCAACCCACAATTTGGTAGGTAAAACTTCGAATCACTGATTTTAAGTCGGACTATCGCAGCTCCTGTAAGTCTTCAAGGTGGGAGATCCAAGGATGCAGAAAACGGTTGGGTGAATACCCTTGAAATGATGACCGAAATCGGACATAAAGTAGCGCATTTATATAAATAGAAATATATATACCATACTATTACCTTAATGACGTCTATCAAATACTACTAGTAAGCATATAGCTGTTTCAGTATGAACGGAAGCGTCTCAATCAGACCCACCTTCAGAGAGAAAAGCTTTGAGAAAACTGCTTTTGTCAGGATACATTGATCGGTTTTGCAGCTCAAGGTGCTTCTTTAATATTTGGGGTACTTCTTCAAGGATTTTTGTGCAGGTGGGCTCCTGCAATACGGAAGTGACGGATTGTGTGAAATGAGGTCGGAGCAGAATAACACGATTCATTGATGCATCATTATTTCTTGTGCGCACACACACAATAGGTGCAAAGCTCAAGTTAACAAGATATGGACTTATCAGTTGCTAAGGTACTCGCGGAGCTGAGCAATTTGCTCGTAAATGTTTTGACACCAGTCGAGGTGACATCATCAGTGCGTGTGAGTGGGAGGTTTCATCGCCTAAGCTGATGAATTTATGCTCAGGCTTGCCTTCTACCAGTTTCTGATACGAAACCGCTCATGCCCACCCACCGACAATATCACCATGAATGTTGACGGAACGTTTAAAAGCAAATAGTCCAGCCCGGCGAACACCACTGGAACAGAATACCCAACCCGAATAACCAGTATTTCGCCTGATCTACAAGATTTATAAGTTTATTCTATTCTCATGGCTTGATGTCCTCACTCTGTGCAACTGGCATGGATCCTTTAAAGGAATGCAGCAGACTTACTTGGATCCAAGTTTCCGACCATTCCTCCCGTCCATGCAATTCTCTTTGCTTCAAGGCCCATGTGAACGAAGGTAAATGACGCAGATCCAGAAGAGCTGTCCCGAATGAGTCCGGACTTGTGTCGATTTTAAGCAACCATAAATGAGTTGGCAAGTTTCCGGTAAACAGAGTGGCCAGAGTTTCGTGCAGCTAAAGCGACGGGGTGAAACGAAATAAACGAAGTAGAGAAATTCTGGAGATTATCATCAGTAGTATATGTATATAATTCCTAAGGGATTCTTGACTGTAATGCGAAAGGTAGAATATTTAGCGATCAGGTGACATCCCTTAAACGCTAGTGTGGGGATCACTTTGTTCATGGGGGTATGTGCAACAATCGCCGTGACCAAGTAGTAACTAGTCGCGATGGGACAGGACGCATATCGGCGAAAATTTGCAGGAAACGTCTACGTGTCCAGGCGCGTTACTGACAACCGTGTCTCAAAATTGTTCGTATACAAATGCACAAGACCGCAGTAAGTCGTTCGAGCTTCGATCCCGCCAGGCCTCAATATCCTGGGACCACATTTGTTAACCGAGACATGGCTGAACGAAGTGGTTAGCGACGCCGAGATCACAGCACCTGCTTCCTCACTCTCGCGCAACGCCCGATCCACTAAGGGATCCACTACGATATTTATTTATCGCCGTTCCGACCTGCACGTCCACCTCGTAAACGACCTTGGAGTTCACACCGTAGCTGCGTTATGGTGTTACCTACAACGAAGGTCGATATATGCTTAGTAGTCACTGTACGGCGTCCACCATGGTCCACTTCAGAAATATAACAGGCTCTTGCCTCCGTCATATCGAACCCAATAACTCGATCTTACAGTCACCTTCTCGTGGTAGGAGATTCCAATTAATGACGGAATTTCAAGAGCTAACAGCTCGTCTACAGCTGTACAACCATGCTCTTCTAGAACCCCTTTCAGGACAGGAAACAAAAGAGTCATCTTCGACCTCGTTTTCACCAACGCGGAACTCATGATCGGAGTAGTAATAGAGTGCACTCCTTTGGATTGCAGCGATCATGCGACACGGGTATTCCAGTATGTGTGCTATGCAGATTATCCTAGACAAAGTGCCGAGGTATCTCACGTCGTTCCCAAGTATGATTATCTGTCCTACCTCATTAATGCAATTAGCTGATCTTTCCTGCCCAAATGATCCCCAGAGGTGGCTTGCGGGAAATTTGTCAACAAGTTCGACAACCTCACGATAAGTACTTTAGAAAGAGATGAATTTGTTCCTAAGGAGCAGGACTCGTAAATGCATGTCATTGTGTGACTCGGCTTGGCTTGCCCACCTATTCGGTCTGAATGAGGACACTTGGGATGTCTTTACAACACAAAGGACTACCTGCGTCAAAATCGTCCGGGAGGATAGGATAAAGTACCAGCAAGACCTGGGGATAAGATTTTGTTCCAACCCCAAGCTATTAGGCAATCACGTAAACAAAATTCGCAGGCAAAATTGTGGAATTTGAGCTCTGCACCTATCATGCAGGTTAACGCATCCGAGAGCAGAGACAGACAACATTCTTGGAAAACAAGTTGGCCATTTCTTCTTCTAAAGCTTGTTGTTATCTTGCATCCTTCTTACGCCCATCGTGCGGACATCAAGCTTTGACCACATCTCCTCTACAACCATATCTGTACTGAGATTGCTGATGTCCTTAAGCGAGTCCAGCTCTTCTGGTGCTAACGGCATTGGCCCAAACGTGTTGAAAGTGGCGTACATGAGATTAGCGCAGTACTCTTACAACGATGTCTTAACGAGTTTCTCGTTTTTAAGGTGTGGGAGCACGGGATAATCACACCAACCTACAAAAGTGGTAGCTGTGCAGAACCAGCAAGTTATCACCCGATAACACTGCATCTGTTGGTCTCCAAGATTACTGAATCCATTGTCGGTGAGGCACTCATGAGGCACCTGGAGAGTAATAAAATGCCCACTCCGGAGCTACACGCATTTCCCTGACATTAATCCTGTGCTATTGCACTATTGACCGTGCGTGAATGCTAGACGGGATCTGTGGACGCTGGTATAAAAGATACCGCCTATCCGGATCTCTTAAAGGCATTTAACTTTCTGGACCATCGCATTCTACTGCACCGACTTCAGAATTGTAGGATCGACGATCTCGTTCTGGGCTGGGTAGACGATTTCCTCTTTCAACACTAACTTAATGGGAGGGTTCGCAATACCCTATCCGAAATAATCGAGGCTCAGTGTGGTCTGTTCCTGCTGTTCACAGATGACCTTCAACGTTCCTAATAGTCGAGGAGGCATGCTATCATTACAATGGAGGACTACACAACCCTACAAAATGATCTGGATAAAGCATATCCACTGTCCATCAATAAAATGTTCCTGTTCAACGCCTCTATGTGCTAATTTTCCCAAAACTGCCGGCTAGCGCCACGAATTTTTCAGTGGGTCTCTCATGTGTGCGATCTCGGCGTGATCGTGCAAGGTGACCTTGGTTGTTTCAGGTAGAATGCAAAGCCATTAAAGACATCAAATCAGCAGTTCAGCCTCTTTCAATGGAACAATGAAAAAGTGTATGTATCACGGATAACAGAGCAAAAACTTAAAGCGTTTCCGTCCGAAACGGTGAGCGCAACATTAAATCAACACAAAAAGGCGTGGCGGTTGCCTTACTGTACATTTCACTTGTACACTTAGTTTGTTTACTTTGTCCCGTATCCCAGTATATCGGGTTAGATCATGTACTGCTGGGGTGTAATATATCATTAATTCGACATTTAAATTAGGACAAGGTACAAGCGGATATAACAGAATGCCGAGGTAAGTTCCAGGGCTGGTTTACACGAAATGAGGAAACGTTCCGACGGCATTCCAATCGGCAATACTGTGTCGTAAACTTCATATGGCGAACCCTCAGTGAGGTGTTTTGGTTGTGTTTCAATAAGGTTCGCCATGGGTGCTTAGAATCCTTGAAGACCTGATGCACCAATTTGAGATCAACTCGCAAAAGACGATCTTGTTCACTGGAGACTTCGAGAGCCTTTAGTCTCAGCTAGTAAGTGCGGCAGACTAATCCATTTACATCTTTTGTCGCCTTCCGTTGTGTATTCTTAAGAGCGCTGAGTTCATGTTTTGACAGGGATGCCACCCCTGCATAACGTATTCATCGTGTGTTCTGACGTAAGCGTTGGACATACGAGAAAAGAAGTTAGGATCAAACCGGTCATACGCCATCCGCAGTAAACCTAGGTGTTGACTGGCTTTTTTTCACTGCCATTTCGCCCTGCTTTTAATATCTAGGCTCATCCTGCACCAATAATACAAGGTTACTTTCATTAGAAACGCCATACCAAATGTGTCTTCCTGGTGCATTTTCGCAGATATTCAGATGTTCTACGCTCATTCTTTCACATTTGTCGGCATTGAATTTAAGCATGTCACAGCCCACCACCCGTAAACCCAGCGAAAACCACGTTACAGTGTTATGTGGTCATGTAGTCGCTTGACTGCATGCCAATTCTTGAGATCATCTGCAAGGAGTAGACAGAATGGCGTCAATGTCGCTGCGAAATCGTTTACGAAGTCTAGGCGTAGCAGTGGTCCCAGTACCGAACATTGAGTGAAGCCAAAGGGCACCTCGATCCAGTCGAACAGGACGCAACAAATTCGCACAAGCAGGTGTTGTTGGAGTAGAAATGAATGTATCTTGCCAAGGATGGGGTTAATGACTCCAGAGCTCTAAAGCTTGCACAGAAGAATGCGGTGGTCAAGTGATCAAATTCCTTCGGGAAATTAAGCTAGGCAGCCTAGGCTCTTTCTCCAGCATTAACGGGTTCCGACCAGCTAACACAATCAAATGAAAAGTTCATGTAACATGAACGGTTGTGATAAGGTCCATGCTGTTTTTACACGATTATATGACCCCTTCCTAAATATCCCATAAGTGTATTTGCATTGACAGATGCCATGATTTTAGCAGGTACGGGACGAAGTGTAAGCGGGTGATAGTTTGCGGGCACCACACAAGTACCTGCCTTGTAAATGGGGTAAATATTCCACGTTTCCACATTGTTGGGCATGCATCATGTCGAAACAGCACTAGGAAGACTGGGATTATGGTTCAGCCAAGCTCGTGTCAACTACCATCAGTGGCTTGGGGCGTATGCAATCCGGTCCATTGAACTGTACTCGTGTTGTGACACCAATCGCTTCGGCATATCCGCGGCTGTGTAGCAGAGGTGGCTAAGTCCTGGAGGTGATGTGATATATGGGAAATCGGTGATGCGATGACGATGCATTATGGAAGGTAAAAGGGAATGGATGTATACGAGTATTAAGGCCTTCGTAATTTTTGAAAGTGCAATGTTTCAGTCTTCCGGAAAATGCTTGGTGCATACGTGCCACTGCAAGCGGAATAGGCTATCCAAGCGTGGCGATCCCGGCAGAAGTATCACCTCGAGACTGCACGACATAGGACCTAGAAGCACATCAAAGATTTGCCTAGTCTTTCTTATCCACTCAGGCTGAAAATTATAAAGTTGTACATCGTCTACGGAGCGATATTATAACCGTTTATCAAATCCTAAAAAAGCACAAATCCCACTTGACACTATCTTTCGAAACTTAGCCAAAACACATCCTTGAGGGACCATCACTTGAACTTGGCCACGCATTGCAGCCGAATGGCCTGTCGATGAAATAGCTTCTACCTCCGAGGGTCACAGCTTTGGTGCCCCCTTCCACCACACGTGGTTAATGTCTTTAGGTTATCCCTTTACAAAAATAGCTTTGAGAATACCCTGACACATTGACGCTATGTGATATAGCCTATGACACTAAGATGATAGCATTAGTGAGGAGAAAACGGTGGACGGTATCATAATCCTCTTAAACTCCAAACACAAATACTCACACATGTGCTGATGCAGACCCCTTGGTGAGTCAAGTACCTCACGCGTACTGTGATCGACACTCATCTTATCTTGTACCTTTAACCCTAAGAATCCTACGGGCTTGTCATAAACCATTACATCAAGTCTGGTCAGAATACTCTTAATGTACCCGGATGTATGTAATTTCAGTACCTTAGGTTATCGAATGCAAACAAAATGGTGAAACATGCAGGATATATATATATATATATATATATATATATA